TCAAAAAAAATAATTTTTGTTTCATGAATGGTTAAAATTTTTTTTTGAAAAAAAGACATGATTTGGTTGAAATATTAGAAAACATGATTTGCAACAAAACACGGTTTGCTTTAATAATTTAATCATTGTATAAATTCCATATTGATAATTTGGTATCTTTTGAACAAACAAACAATAATCGTTGATCATCAATCTTAGTCCAGCACAAATAATTGATGACTTCCGAATGAAAATCTAGAACGGCTCGTATTGCTCCCGTTCTAACGGAATTTACACGCACCGTTCCATTCCAGTATCCGGAAGCAAGCTCTTTCCCGCAATTTGAAAAGCACAGAGAAGAGCAGCCACCAGCTCTACAAATAAATTTTTTATTATGAAGAGCGAAAAATTGTATTAAGCTATGTTGCCACCCAATCCAATCTTCAAGCATTTTAAAGTGCTCTCATTAAAACAGTCTTGAAGTTTCTCAATGATCTTGAAATTCAACATATCTCATCAATCATTTAACATTACATTTGAAACTCAGAACATTTGTAGAGGTAATGCAAAACTTCAGCAACAAGAAATATAATCATATAAAAAAAAGCACATTGAACTGACAATTGATTCATAAATTTAAATTTTAAGATATATCCAAGAAATATTGTTTTCTCCAAACAAATTAAACAATTGTCATTACAGCTACTTTGCAGTATGCGTACAAAATAAATATTCCAATCGATAACTAATCACTCAAAATTACAGTCAGTTAAATACTCACTTTTGCGGGAACAAAATTTCCTTCTGAATAGTGATTCCATCTGTTGTCACATTGATTAACATTAACGGCGGCTTAACAGATGATACAGCTAACATGTTAGCAAATGATGCACAAGCAAGAATAGGCTTGGGAAAAAGCTTTATCTAAAATAGATAACGTAAGCAACTTGAAAAATATTAACCATATTCTGAAAATAAATCACTTTACACGTTGTCGACAAATTAATTGATCAAAAAATCAATGAATATTGTTAATTTCAAATTTACTGCATACCTTATCTATAGTACTGAAATCTCCAACATTCACAACTTTTATTTCTCCTGTTTCGAAACCACAAGCCAAATATCCATTATCCAATATAGAGAATGCCATGAAAGTGCTAGCATCATCATCAGGAGACCATACTCGAGACATTTCCTCTGTTACGCCAGCAAAAACGCCAATTAAACATTTGTCAGCCTCAAGGTAAATATATTCAAAAAAGAAAATGAAGTGTGAAAATAAAATGAAAACTAAAGCTACAAAAAAAAGAACTGATTTAGAAGTACCTGAAGAAATGGACAAAATAACTGAAATGTATAACAAAATGCACCACAAAAACCGTAGAATTCTGTCTGTATTATCCTTGTGAAACAAAAATTCAATGCCTAAAAATGTAATACTTAAAAATAAGAGTTTTAATACAAAAAAATGTTTCTGAAAAAACTGCATTTAGATTGCATTCAGCATGCAATCTAATTTCAGTAGAACAAGCGATTGTTTTCCTCAATGACTCAATATTTCTATTCTGGTTTGTACATAGACAAACGATAATGAAAAATCATAACCTTCGAAGCTTTGTCTACCGATAATAATACAATTGCATAAGCACGAATATGAACAAATATGCAATCATTCGTAAATTGACCCACTGCTACTATTGACCTGTCATTCGGATCAACTGGAATACAAACGAGAGAGCATAATCAATTATCTGAATCTTTCTAAATTTTTCTCATCACTTAAATAATCAGTGCAAATTATTCACTCTAATCATACAACAATCTAAATATTAGCAATAAAAAACGTGTTAACAAATCTCTCACCACGTATGAAAATTTTAAATTCAATTCAACAACTGTATTCAGTGATGCGGGATCAGAAATATATTTCATAGCAAATAACTGAATTTACATACTGCTTATAATAATTTTTGTTATTGATCATCTATCTGGAACTAAATCTACTTCCATTAAAATTTTTAATATGAAAATATTCCTACAAGTTGCTTTACTATGAACAAGAGCTCCAGCGTAATTTTTTTCATTAATACTTTTTTGATCTTCTTAATACCTACCGAAATGCTTCCAAGAGAATTTACTAATAACATTGAAAAAATACAACTTAATGAGCAATATTACAGTTTATTAAAAAATCAAAATTAACCGTAAACTGTGGAAGCGCGCAAATGAGTTCTGGGTGAAAATAGGATACACTTTCCATATGTACTGCCAACGGCTAACTGGGGTTCATCATTCACGGAGACAATTGCGCAACATGAGACACCACCAGTGAAACCGTAATGAACGAATAGCGGGATCGGTTTTTTCATTGTTTTCTACACATTGACTCACCTCTCTTTCTTGCTTCACAACACCAATTCACACACGTGCACATATATATACTCACGTGCTATATGTCTCCTTTATTTCATGAATTGGCAGCAAAATTCTTCCAGTGTGCATTCTGCATCCATCGAACCAGCCTACAGATAAATTTTCCCGCAATTACCAAGCCCCATTTACATAATTTACAGTAAAGTATATAAACTTTGCAGTTTTCGCAATATTCCGCATTATAAAGTAGGTGCGATCGAGAATTACTTACCCAAACAAGAAGCATTCACACATGTTCTCCCACTCGCAGAACTATTCAAAGCATACTTATAAATAAGTGTCCATACAAAAACATATATTTTTCACCTCTATCAAAATTCGCAGTTACATTAATCCGTCTGGAATTACTGTAACGTTCTCTACTACTACTGAATGCAACTTTTTGTAGTTCTCAGTTTTAAATGTCACTCGATAAAAAAAAGTTGACGAGCAATCCTTCAAGTAAACCATTCTAGTAAGATACACACATTTACGGATAACATTTGTAGACGCTTGAAACATTTGCAAAATAATTTATTGTTCTTGTTAATCATGACATCCGAACAAAAAAGCAATAACAAATAAACAATCATAATAGCAAACAATATCATCTGAGATCCTCAGGCATCCTCTTTCTTTTCCGATTTATCCTAAAAAAAGAACAGGAAGTGTCAAAACAAGCAAATTAAAAGCAACACTTTATATTCGATTTAAAAGCATGATATAATTTTCTTTTCTATGAAGTATCCATTAATAAGAAAAAACATTAGCGAAATATATTACCAGACGGATCCTATGAAGAATAAAGGCAACTTGATCTTTAAGAACATCCTTGTTCTCGTAAAAATGAATATAAAAAAATCTAGTGATAGATATTTCTGCCCTTGTTTTTCATTTAAATAAA